AAAAAGAGCGGTCTGGTTTTTTAGGAATGCCTTTACTTTATCTTTAAATGGCCTAATTTATCTCATATTTGAGAGACAATTTTGCTGGACAATTTTAGTTGGCAGTGTTTTTCTCAGAATATTATATACGTCATCCCATTGCCTTCTTCCCTTCAGGGTTTTTGAGGAGAATTTTGAACTTAGTCTTATGCTTTCCCCTTTAGGTAACTTTTCATTTTCCCCAAGGTGCTTTCAGGACTCTTGTCTTCAGTTAGGGAAAGTTTCTTGGTAATATTCTTGTGGAGTCTATCGTATTTAGTGTTCATGGAGTTCTTGAATCCTTGTCTTCTCTCATCTTAGGGATATTTCCTCCCAAGAACTCTTGGGCATTTTCTTGTGTGACTCACCTCCACCCCACTCCCCCGACCCTTGTGTGTATAGCACTCCAGCCAGCTAGGCACTACCTGAGATGGATGGAAGAACACTCAAGACTCCTGATTGAGTCATCCGGGAGAGAGAGGGAGAAGAGCCACCTGAGCCTCTCCGCTCGCCGTTTTCCATTTGCACAAAAGGAGAAAGTTTACAGAAGTCCAAATGTAGGGACAATGCTGGGGCACAATGACTTCAGGTGCAAGATGTTTACGTGATTCACAATTAACACGCATTCTAGTCTGACTGACAAACATTCTCGTGTACAAGCATATTGTGACTGGATAGAGTCCTTTTTGCCTCCAACAAGGAGTCCCCTTATCACTCAGCCTTTGTGCCAAGTTCCTGGAACACGCAGACGTTATACACTCAGGGTTTATTCATCGTCTGTGCACCCAAGTAATCCTCCCAGGGGAGCAGGACAGTGTTTCCCTACACCTAGAATTCTAATCATACTAAGTTATTCCTTTTGATAGTGTTCCACATAATTCGTAGGCTTTCTTTTTTAACCTCATGAGCCTTGGTGGCAGTGGGTTATGCATTAGGCTCCTAACTGCAAGGTCAGTGGTTCGAAGTCACCAGCTGTAGATGAGGCTTTCTACTTTTGTAAAGACTTAATAAAACTCACAGGGACAGACCTGCCCTGTCCTGTAGAGTTGCTATGAGTGGAAGTTGAGTCAATGGCAGCATTTTTTTACATTCTTTTTTTGTAATTGTTCCTCTGCGAGGTTAGTGTGGACATTCCTCTTCAGACTCTATAATTCCATCTTCATGGTGACCTTTCCACGTTGCTCTCTAGTTTTCAGCTGGGTCCTACAACTCATCGAAGTGACCACACGCAAATCATAGTGCTGAAGATGATGGCGCTCACTAGGGAAATCA